ATATTGCCATATAATTTTCATCGCTAAGATTTTAAAGGCTAATTGTTTTAGCAGTAACTTGTGTGACTATTCTCCAATTAAAAAACTTTGTAGGATTTCGTTATTATTTCATCAGCTGAAAAATGTTAGTAACCCCAGACACAATACCTATTATAAAGTGTAAACTTTGTTCCTCTTTTGCAGTATGCTTGGACACTTTTATGCAATTTATCCGTTTTATTGGGCTGGGGTCAAAGCTCTCGAATGGGTTAGACATATACCCTGCTCAAGTTCAAAAATTTATTGTTTCAATAGAGCCCAACGACACATGCAGTTCGACGAGAGCAAAATAGAGTAAAACCGATATAGGAGAAATTGAATTTCTATAAAAGTTTCGACAGCATGCAAAAGACAAACTTTGTCCACTGGCCGGAGGGGGAAGTGTGGGTGATTTTTGGGCTGGAAGGAAAGGAAAGTGGAAGGTTGTGGGGTGACCGGTTGGATCACATACGCTGCCACGCCCACCATTTGCCAGCCACTGAGGCAGGAGTTGGCAAAAGGAGTTAAGTAGCCAATCACCATGTCCTCCTTTGTCCTTCAGCCAGGCATTCTTCGGTCTCTTTCCCGCATTTTCCGTGTGCAGTTCCTTTGGCGGTCCGCAGAGAACGCTGTCAACACTTGGACTTCCGGTGGCCGATGCCACTGCTGCTGCTGTCAGCAAAATGTCACCAGCATGCACATGGAATCGCTTTTTCCACTCTCCCGTATTTGATTGGGTCTGGGTTGGCAATTGGCCTCCGCCATCCAGCCATCCAGCCATCCTGCCATCCAGCCATCCTGCCAGCCATCCGACATCCTTCGATCCCTCCGCTTGGCCATCCTGGCTGACTGGCTGGTCAGGAGCATTATTTGCTTTTATTTCTGCAAGTCAATAGCGTTGGCTTTTAAATTTATCGACTGACGTTTGATGCGCTTCATTTAACTTGGAAACATTTTTCAACTCAAATTCCTCAACGCCGGAGTTGGCCCGCATTTAGTTTTTTGGAAATGCCACAGTGGTGGCAATTTTTAGATGTGAATAATGGGCAGGTACTTTAAAATCTCCATTTTTTTTTTTAAATCTGGAACAGGAAATTTTTTTATTATTAATTTGAAAGCAATTGATAAAATAAATATAATAATGTTTAATCCTATTTTAATGGTAATATGTTGTGCGCATCACTGAATTAGATGGTAAATTCTTTCTTTTTCTATGGCTTAAGTTTTGTTAGCTGCATGGCAGATGTTAAGTGGCATTAAATCCTATCTCACAAGGAAAGCAGCTGGAAAACTAAGTGTACAGTGAAGGTTTGATATGGAGTGTAGCACGTACATTGTGTCTCTATATTGTTAATGAACGGCTTAACAAATTTAATTTTGGTATATATATAAAAAAGATCAAAAATAATCCTAAACATTTAAGGTTTAACATGCCGATCCAACTATTTCCTTTTCAACTAATTAGGTATTAATGAAATAGCAAGAGTCCGAAAACTGTCAATGTTCTCAAAAAAATAGAAAAATACACAAGTCTTTTTCCTTCGGCAACAAAACAACCCATCAACGGAAGACAACTAATACTGGGGTCTAGCCTGTCTTAACCATAAAGCAGTAAGCATTCTCTAAAAAAAACTAAATATAAAAACGGTCGAAAAGGAAGTTGTTAAGAAGATCAGTGCACGAGTACTCTGAGTAGCTGGGTTCAGCTGCTAGCATCCCATCCATTTGGTTATCTGGCAATGTACTTCACAAAAAAGTAGTGGGTTAAGCTTTGAATGGGGGCAGTCAGGGCTGCTACAATAAGCAGAATGCAGTGAACTGCAAAACATACAACTTCATGGTTATTTTGCTCTTTAGTTAGCTGCCATATTTTTCTGTTCTCCCATTTCACCCCCGCCCCTTTTCTTAACATGCCTTTCGGATACTGGACTACTGGACTGGGGGCGGTACCCACGCCCACTTAACAAATATCAACTAAAATAGCTTTATATATTGTTGAGATAATAAAAATGCGGCAAGGTTCGCTTGAAGAGCCCAGACAACGGATATGCTGACCCTTTGGTGCAATTGTGTGTGCTGCGTCCGGGAGTCCTGCGGAGCCAAAGGATAAACGGTATACAAAAAAATATGTGCTAGTTACAGTTCAATGAACTCAAAAGTATCAGATGCATTTATTTTTAAAATAAAGCTTTCTTATGTCTAGAAAGTATCTGTTATGAATTAGTTGCACTTTTATTTCATAAAGATTTAGGTCCTTATCAACATGCCTAAAATACTCTACTTTAAGTGGAAGTCTAAACTCTGTTTTACGTACCATTGCAGGAGATTCGATTGTTTAATGACCCTTGATTGCAATAAGCCAATTTGCAGTAGGAAGGTGTGGGTAAGTGAAGCGAAAATGCTCTCCATTTGAGTTCAAAATGTGGAATAAGTTCATTAGCATTAGAGTAAGAGGCAGGAGGCAGGGAATTTAAGGGACAGGAATTTCCAACATTGAACTGCCAATATTGCCAGAACCTTTTTTACTTTAATTGGAGTTAATGTAACTTTTATGCTTATGCAATCATATTTTAATTTCCTTCTGGATAGGCGTTTTGAAGATGGTTGGGTTACCACTCGATTTCGAATTTAAATTACCTTGGTTTTTGGTTGGCAGAAGCCCGAAGTTTGTGCCTGTAGCATCTGCTCCTTTATTGAATAACCCCTGCATAATTGACTTCAACGATGCAGATAGCGAGGCTGGTAATTTCAGCCGATCAAAGTGAGTTGATTAGGCCGTGGACACAAAAGCCGTCGACAAGAGATAAACCTTTGACTTGGCTCTGGGTTTCAGCCCCATTTTACCACCCATAATGCAGTCCGCAGCTAAGTGGGCGTGGCCGGCTTGTAATAACTCACGCCTTTTGACACAGATTAAACCGGCATAAAGACAATGCTGGGATAAGGAAACTGCAACGATGACGAGGACAGAAACAAACTTGGCCAAAGGATTGTGTGACCCCTCTTGTGTGGGCCTATATAGGTATGTATGTATGTGTGCGTGTGTGTGTGTGTATGTTTGTGTGTGTGTGTGTGTGGGTGGGTGGCTTGTGTAAATGTTAGCCCTTATTGTTTGCCCGACTGGCCGTGCAGGCAGCACATATCACGAGGCGACCAGACACACAGGACCCCATCCACATCTTTCCATATATTTTCCATACCGAGCTCATTCGAGCCAGTCTGCTGCTCATCTTCATTGTAGATGACAGCTCCCATTGTCCTGGCCGGCTCCTGCAGCGACAGCTGCTGCACTTTTAGCCGCCCGAGACAGAGCGCTCAGATCAGGCAGTACAGAGCCCATATTCGCGCCAAAGGAGAAATCCCCACATATTCCCCATTAACTTGTTCTTTTTGTTCTTAAAGCCTCTGCTTTGTCTCTGGCACGACTCATAAATTTCCAAATATTCAGAGACATATCTTTTAATTTGTTTAAAAAAAGAAATCGAAAACGAATAATTAAAATTATTTTACAAGAATGCGAAATGCAGATATCAACGTGTGTGCAAATATTTGTAAGAAAGAATTCAAAAATTACCCATATCATAGTTAAATAAACTTGAACTCAGTTTTGTATTACATTTTCGAAAACTTTTTATAAATAATAAATGTTTATGTTAAGCCGTTTCACTATCTGAAATCTTTGCGAAGTGCATTTCCTTGTTGTGTTGCCACTCGCTTCTTGTTGTTTTATTATAGTTGGTTTTGTTGAGACAGCGCCATGCATAATATACAATTTACTCAAAACGAATCGACTAAAGGGAAAATTCTATGCATTTTATATCGTGCCAGAGGGCATTCATACGATGAATGTAAGTACATGCCGCATACATATTATATATATGCAGATGGGAGTTTCATTTTGCCAAACACACGCGGAAACCCAGTAGGTTGCAGTCAGAGAGCATTACCTATGCTCTATGTGGACTTATCGCCACTCACCTTGGTTCCTCAATTGGTGCGTGGCAAAGAATTCATCATGCAAATAGTGTTAGCGTGTGAAGTCAGTGAGCGACTACCCTGATGCATAATGCATTCGATGTCTGCACGGGAAATGACAAATTTCTTGCAGCAAAAGCAAGTTCTGGGCGGGGCTTCAGTCTACTGAAAAAAATATTTAAGCAGATTCAATTAAATTTACTTCGGCACTTGCGCTCTAGTAAGAGAGTTCAGGAGAACTTTGACGCCCAATTAAGGTAAAGATTTTGGGGTACCTTTGACTTATGATATAGATCTGGCATCAGAGATGTCAACAAACACCAAATAAATGACGATTTTTCTATTTATTTTTTAAATATAATCTTTTGCAGACACTTCAAAATCGGATTAAAATAAGAAAAGTTATGGATCTCGGATTAGTGAGTTTTGGTCAATTTTTAGCAAACCCATTTTTTTTGGAATTTTAAAAAGTGGTTGTATCATAAAAATTGAAAAAAAAAATGGATTAAATTTAAAAAAGTTTACTGATTTTTGCGTTTTCTAGAAACTTGCATTTTAGAAATAAGTCTGGAAATCAAAGAATACATTAGGTCTTTAAATAGTTTTTGAATTTTTGTTATGTTATCTATAATGATTTGTATATCTTTTAAAATTGCTTGTTCAATGAATTGTGATTTTAATCCACTTTTCTCCGGGTTAAGAGACATTTGGCTTAATCAGGGGACTTACCCCGTCTTGGTAATGTAGTCGTAGGTAAGGGTAATCTATGTGGAAAGCTAGTTTATGTGATGTATAACATAATCGAATTTTCTAAAAATGTTGATGACTAGGGCTGACTTATTTAAACAATTAAAAAAAATGATACTCCAGCTCATCAAAGAAATATTGTTTTCTGAGCATTTCCGTCCGGGCGATAGGAAAAAATATATAGATAAAGTTCACCTTGGACATTTCATGCAGTTTGTTAAAATACATTTAACTAAGTAACCGTAACATTCAATATTAGCTCTATTTTCCGATAGTTTGTTCAATATATTATATGTGGTGCCGAAGCCAATTAGCTGATCTATTTTATTAATACAGTAAAGTAATATATAGATTACATTTTAAAAAAATAATTTTTTAATTATTAACATTTTCCAACTGTAGTATTTAATCGTTTTTTGTAACGTTGTTTTTATTAATGTTAATTGAGCCACCGGAGGGACTAGGGGTATTCTTTTCTTCTTTCTTTTCTTCTTTTTTGTTATCTTTCTTTTTCTCTTTTTTGTCCTCTTTTTTGTCCTCTTTCTTGTCCTCTTTCTTGTCCTCTTTCTTGTCCCCTTTCTTGTCCTCTTTCTTGTCCTCTTTCTTGTCCTCTACCTTTTCGGGTTTTGGAATTGGTGGTGGTGGTGTAAGCCTAACTCCTGGGCATCCTCCTGTTTGGCAGCTGGGTAGTTTGCATCCTCCTGCTGGGCAGCTCGGTGGTTTGCATCCTCCTGTTGGGCAGCTCGGTAGTTTGCATCCCCCTGTTGGGCACCTCGGTTGTTGGCATTTTTGGGATGGGCATCCATATGAAGGGTATCCAGGGTATCCAGGGTATCCAGGGTACCCAGGGTATCCAGGGTATCCAGGGTATCCAGGGTATCCAGGGTATACATATCCAGGGTATATATATCCAGGGTATATATATCCAGGGTATATATATGCAGGGTATCCAGGATATCCAGGGTATACATATGAAGGGTATCCAGGGTATCCAGGATAGTTGATAGCCTGCGCTGGTGGAGACGGCGCTGGTGGAGACCGCAATCCTATCTTTGGAGGTACAACTAGAGGTTCTAAAAGGTAACTGTCAGCGGGGATATCCCGCAAACTAACTGGTGGAGACCGCGCTGGTGGAGACGGCGCTGGTGGAGACCGCGATCCTATCTTTGGAGGTACAACTGGAGGTTCCACAAGGTAACTGTTATCGGGTGGAGACCGTGCTGGTGGAGCCGCCGCTGGTGGAGACCGCGATCCTATCTTTGGAGGTACAACTGGAGGTTCCACAAGGTAACTGTTATCGGGTGGAGACCGTGCTGGTGGAGCCGCCGCTGGTGGAGACCGCGAACCTATCTTTGGAGGTAAAACTAGAGGTTCCAAAAGGTAACTGTCATCGGGAATATCCCGCAAATTAACTGGTGGAGACCTCGATCCTATCTTTGGAGGTACAACTAGAGGTTCCAAAAGGTAACTGTCATCGGGAATATCCCGCAAATTAACTGGTGGAGACCGCGATCCTATCTTTGGAGGTACAACTGGAGGTTCCACAAGGTAACTGTTATCGGGTGGAGACCGTGCTGGTGGAGCCGCCGCTGGTGGAGACCGCGGTCCTATCTTTGAAAAAAAAAAAAATTACTTTTTCATAGATACAAAATCCTACTTACCAAGGCAATTTCTTTTTCAAGACCATTGTGCAGTGGCAATAGGAAAAAAATAACTATTATCGAATACGTCCGTTTTGACATTTTGTGTACTTCTGAATAGGGCAAAAACAGAAATGAAAGGAATTATTATATTTTGCTACCCACAACTAATTTTCATTAAAGGGCGTTAAGTTGTTTTTAACGTTTGACAAAGTCGTTTAGCTATAGTTGTAATTTGATATCTCATTAAATAAGGCAATATAATTAAGTGTGGAAAATTTCATTATATAATGATTGGTAATAAAATGGGCTCAACTTAGGGTTTATTCAGCCTATGACAGAATAAAAAAAAATTTGATTTTAATTCCATTTCTTCTTTTTTTTTGTACTTAATTTTTTTGGATCACATTTATATTTAGTTCACAGAAATTCTACCTGATGTAAATCCTGGTAAAACGTGGATAAGGTAAAATCTGTGATCCAATAGGAAGTCCACTTCTGGGACTTGTATAATTATAGATTCAGAAAGATTTCGAGGTCGAAATGCATGTAATGTTAGCCTAAACAAGAGGTTGATTTCAGCTTAAATATTTTAGCCACTCATCCAGCGGAGGAGACATTGAAAATATTCGGAACCGCATGCAGCTTTACGAAACCGGGCGCAGAGTTGCTGTTGCAATTTCTGTTTTGAAATTGGCTTATTTAGGTATTTTTTATGCGCCCGACATTCAACGTCGACCGTACTGTGCTGCAGGGGCTTGTAGTCCCTGGCCTTTGTTTTGTAATTGTTTCGAAAGTGGGCGGCAACGAGGCAGTGGCGGGATACAGTAGGCGGCGAAAGTTAACGTCATTGTCGTTTCCGAACTCGACGACGTTGGGTCGTTGTCGTTGGGCCAAAAGAAGAAGGACGACATTAGCGGCAACTGTTTTGAGTGCTGCTTCCTGCCGGTCTGTTCTTTATCGTTCCTGCCCCACCAACTACCGCCCATCCACCAACCACCGCCCACCATCCACCATCCACCACCACCCAATGGCCGCTTTCAAGTGGCATTCGAGTGGCAGCCATTGTGCAGCATTATGATGAAAGTTTGTGTCGCAAAATGCAAATATTTGAAAGGTAATTGAATTTGAACTTTGCCGCTCATCGTCCTCGCCTCCCAGTTAGCTGCTCCGGCTGCCAGTTCAGGTGTACAGGGTAAAAACATCAGCGACATTGTTCGCAAATTCGGTGTTTATCATGTATACATTAAATGGTTTAAATTTTTAGCTGGTCAGCTGATCAGATTTTTGGTAGAACTACGAAACGAGAATGTATTATTGAATACTAAATTGATCTTTAGATTTCTAAAATTTCACAAATTAAGTACATAATTTATTTAAATTACATCAATCTTAGAGAAAACGTATATTGAGGAGCTATTGTAAATATATTTCTCTACAGACCAGCGTAGATGAGAAGACTTAAAGAGCCAGATATCGCGCATGCAATGGCATTAAAGCTTCGATAGCAAATATTTGACAAACAGCTTACATGTTTTATTTAACCAAGCTGAATGGTCAACACAGCACAAAGCCTAAATCGCACTTTCTCTGTCGCACCACATTGTCGTCGACCCTCTCACTCATTTGTTTGTTGTACAAATTATACACAAAATTTGCACACTCATGAGGGCATTCAATGTCCATGTTTTGGAAAGCAAATGAAAATCTATACAGGGCTGGAAAATACATCTGCCCCCTTGCTCTTTCCCAGTCGATGTGCTCACTTTTGGGGCATGCCGCAGGTGCAGTGAACAATAAATTTTGTTGAAAATAAACAATTATTTAAACATGATTGGCTTGTTGCCTGCCTTTTTTTGAGTTGTTCGTTCGAATTCTATCTGAATTCGGCTTTTGTTTTTAATTAATTGCCTTGATTGCTTCAGTCAGTTTAGTATTTGTCTTTTAGAATTCGATGACATGTTTAATTGGAAATTGTTTGAAATTCGTCAATTATTATAGATTTTGTTTGTAAATTATAAAAAAATTGTTCATGTCATACAATTTTCTTATCTCCGCTTCGGATTCATTATATATACTCCTTGCATTGACATTGTAGTTTACTAATTTTTTGCATTAATGGTTTCAAAGGCTTTTGGCGATTTGTGATATCTTATTCTTAGTCATAAAAGCATTTATAGCATTTAATAGCAAACCGAAACTTAATTAGAAGAACAAGATATTCTCATTCCGTTGCACTCTTCGTTGGTGTTGTGGTTTACGCCTCCAAAGAAGATTCAGGGGCGTGGCAGCCACTGTCTACTGGTTTCTTGGACCGCGTCAAAGACAGTAAATTGGAGTGCAAAAAGTGGAAGCTTTTTTTTTGCTCTTTTCCCTGGCTCTGAGTCATCTTTTGTTTGTGTTAATTTCCTGTGGGGGAAGAGGAAAAGAAATAAATTGAAATATAATTAAATTTTGAGCCCAAGAATGACAGGGGTTGAGTAAAACTTGCAGGCACTTCGAGTGTTTAAATCCTCACATTTGGTCCAATATTATTTTCTTTAAATCATTTTTAGAATATTTAATTTATTTATAATATTTATTCAGAATATTTTCTGGTGATATTCCTCCTTAAAAAAACTCCTTTTAATGACTTTTGATATAAATTAGCAAACGCGAGAAACGAGGGCAGAGAAGGGCAGATTGATGGCTGAAAGACGAAGCTCTGCTGCCTTTTGGCCTGACAATCAAAGTCAAAAATGCCTCACAATTGACAAGAAATCGAGAGGAAGAGAGTGTGTGCCCCAGAAAACGCGAGCATCGTTTTCAGTTTTTTTTCAGGGGCGCGTTCAAATTTCTAATTTCATTAAAATTTGTTCAAAGGGCTGATGGCGAGAGGCGGGTGTTGGATGGATGTTGGAGCCCAGACGTTGACAGACACAAATCGACACAATAGACGTCAAATACAGGCGGGTGGGCGTGGCCGGGGGCGTGTGGAGGTGGGGATGGGGCAGCTTAGGCAATCAAAGAGCGCCGATCAAAGTAGAAAATCGATTTTAATTGCAATCTAGGCGCAAAGCTTCGGCGTTCGATTAGCGGTCAAGTGGGCGAGTGTGTGACGACCGGTGGACATTAACTGGGCGTGGCATGTCGGCCCTCGGTCCATTGCATAGTATTTTTGGTCCGTTTTTTACGTTTATATTGAATCCAGTTTTTGCCGATGTCGGTCATTCTTGTCACCGTTTGACTGGTTTTTGGGAATCGTGCCCCAAAGCAGTAATCAATAAATGTTGCTCAAAGGCAAATCAATCAAATTCCCACTTACCTACTACAGGTATTGAAGTATGTATTCCTGTTTGGTGGTATTGAAGTTGCATAAAAGTCAAGGAAAATTTTTTGTTTTCCTATTTTATAAATTGTTTGCTTGAAATTTATATTTACACTAGCAGACCCGGCCACGCGTTGCTGTAGCTAAAGTTATTGTTATTTTACATTGAAGTATACAATGTAAGAAGAACGGTAGGTAAGGCAGATAGTCTTAAGTCTTTAACAGTAATATTTATTATTTTAAACTATAAATACTTTCAATTTCAATTTAATTTAGCACTTATCGGTGCACAATATTTTTGGTTAACCTGTCTTTAGCTAACACAAATATATTTGACGGTTTTCCAACACGTGAACATGCAACATATAGTTGTCCATGAGAAAGGGACGGACTTTCCAAATCCAAACCACAAATGGACATTGTTTGGCCTTGAGACTTATTTATTGTCATGGCAAAAGCTAAACGAATTGGAAACTGTAGCCGTTTGAAAGGTATAGTAGATCCGACGGTATTATTGGAATACGTGGCAAAAGGACCACTTTTCCTTTATCTATGTTTCGTTCTCGTGCCGCTCTTGTTCTCGTAATATTCTGTTGCAGACGTTCGCTACGCTGTTCTTGAGATTCTTGTGCACGACCTTCCACTGTCCTAATTCTTTGAGCTGTATTTCTTGTATCGACTTGTTCTGGCAACTGATGAGCTCTTTCAACACGTTTGCGTCGTGCCTCTCTGCTGCTCACGTTGTTGAGATTAGATTTTTTCGGCGGCATTTTAATTTACTATTATAATTATGTGACAATACCTACATGTATATTTTTTATATCTATAGAATTTTAAATAATGAAGCACAGATAACTAAAAAGCAGGAATGATTTCACTGTATTATCGTCACTATAATTTGAATTTGATTTACACTTCGGTCTAGTACGTACGTGGTTGGCTATGCTAACACCAAAAATTAAAAAAGTAGAAATAATTGAATTTCACGCTTTTTCGTTTAATACAAAATAAATTTAATTTATACCTTAACCTCAATAACACGTGGTAATCAGGCTATTGTCGGTTTAGCATAGCAGCAAATCTACGTACTTTTAAGCCTTTCTTGCAAACCTACGAACTTCAGTCCCAGAATCTACGAATTTTCTATCAAAATTGTTCATAGCAGTGCCATCTATTGTTTACTTACTCAATCTAGTCAAGAAGTATCGACATCTATTAGATTCTTTTGGAGTTAACAGATAATTGTGACTTTCGATTAATTATAGACAAATAATATTATAATTAAAGATCTAAGCTATCCTATCTTTCAAGTTGGACCAGACTGCTCATGGTATGTCAATTTAATTTAACATCGGTTAAGTAGTTTAGGAGTCCATCGCGGACAAACATCGTGACAGGAGATTTATATATATAAGATTTAACATAAAAAAAGTTATTGTAAAATGTGTAACAATAATGAGAGCAGTCGAATTATAAAAAATCAACTATTGGTTTTGAACCACCGCAATCTTGCAAGGCAATATAACAAATTCGTATCACCCATGAGATTTGACTCAGTTGAGGTGTCAGTAATTTCACCCCAGCCCTTCTGTCAGTACCTCAGTCCATAGACTGTATCAAAAGGGAGCACAACCAAATCGAGAAAATGTCGTGCGGTCAATAGTAATCTAAATTGACAAGTTTTTACGCCGGCCAATCACCAATTTCGAACTAAAAAATTCTCCGTTTTAACAAAAGACGCGCTGTGAAGTAGTTTTAATCCATCAAAACGATGCTGCGAAGGATTTCAATGATGCACAGGCTGCAGATGCAGGCGTCGTATCTGCCGTTCTGTTCAAGTGGTCGACAGTACCACAGGGAGACTGAGGGTAGCTCGCACTCGAAGGATGCCCTGGATAGCGAGTACCCGATGCCGACGTGGACGCCGCGTCCGGACCTCAAGCGAATGGAGCCGGTAGACAGGACCAAGGTGTACGATGCCTGCTGGCAGACGACGCGCCGTACCGAATACAAATGCCGATCGGATCCCGAGTTCAATGTACACGCCTTCATCGACAGCCGCAAAAATTGCCTAGCCGATCCTTGTGCCACGGAGACCCTGTCCCTTGATCTGACCCACTATAAGCCACAGGACATGCACAATCGAGAGTATCAGCGAACGTGGCACGAGTGCGTGGTCAAGCAGCGAAAACGCAAGGCCCACTGTGTTCACGATCCGCCGCCAATGCCGCGGCGTTGTCGCAAGAGTTTCAAACACACGTGCCCCGTTAACATGTGCGTTTTGGGCGCACAGGATCTCAAGCTCATCAAGCCGTGCAAACCATTAAAACCGACCACTTGTCCGCGCTTCAAGATGCCCAACTGCTGTGAGGAAGCCCGCAATCCGCCCAAGTGCGTTCGGCCTTTCAGGCGGTGCGGCACTCGCCGAAAGACCAAGTATCCCAGCTTCTCCGAGTGCTGTCGCGATGCTGTTCCGGATGCCCGACCCATCGAGTGCAAATGCCTGGCCAAGCCGGCCATCTGCGAAATGTGGGCGTACTATCGCCGCCGTCACGGCTGATCGAGCTTGATTTTGATTGACAACGAACTGAACGATCTTTAAGCGGTAGTGTTTTACAAAATAAATACCAGTGAAGCTTCTTGAATCCTTCTTTCTAAAGTTATTATGCATTATGTTTGTAAAAATATAAATTTGCTTTTTTATTATTATTTCGGATTTTTAAAGACCGTCGAAGGTACGTAGTTATTCATTCGATTTAACGTGCACGTGTAAGTTGGTCCGAAATTGTTACGGCTATTTGGTCGCCGGGTGGCCTGACATGCTCGCAAAAATGCAATATGCAACAGCCCGTGCGCGAATCTGTATCTGCAGATTGTCCGAAATGGATACAATACCCGGGAAATAACCAAATTCCATTATCCAGATACAAATCAAATTGGCAAAAGGCATTGAAAAGGATCAAAAGAGGGCTGGCTGGGAGTTGGAGGGAATATGCAAAAATCAAATTACCAGAACTTGAGAAATCGCAGACATCAGAAAACCATAAATCAGTGGGCGAAAGGGAATCGAAACGTACATATATAAGAAATTGTTACCGCTAGTTAACGGTTTATTGATGCGTCGCTTTTGGCTGGATTTATTGGCCTGGTCGTTGGTCCTTTGCTTCCTCACGCAGATGCGAAATGGCCAAAACCGAATAGGAGGAAAATCGTGCAAAAGCTAGGAATTGATTTGGCTCTTAGGTGCTTTTAGCTGGTTGAATGCCTTGCTGTTGAAGGGAAAAATCGATAGAAGAAAATCAGTTTAATGGAAGTATCCAATATTTAATATTTTCTTTTCTATCTATTCTATTCATTGCACGTATTTCTTGACCAACTAGTGTAGTAAGTCTCAGTACACATATCTTTCTCAATCACATACTTTTGGACCTCACCCGTAGAAATTTCCGCACTTCAGACAAGTTTCTCATCTAGGAACCGTGGATGTCTGATCCTCGCGATATGGTTTTAGATACATTGACGAGAAATGGCACCGTTGATGATGGAACCATGTTGCATTTGCCCAGCTACGCGGATCGGTATACGGATATCCCCAGGCTCATCCGATTGAAGTTCATTGCACAGGTGTGCCCCGAATTGAGGGTTTCTGCCCTCGAATTGGCCATCGATCACGTAAAGACCACCTATAATGTCAAGTTATACGATGAGCTCTATAAGACGCTTTGCGTTGAGGTGAGCAGAAAATCGCTGAAGCAGCTGAAGGAAAATGGAGAGCTTTCTGAACCCGATGGAAGTGAGGCAAGTACATCGAGTGGCAGGGCGCGAATGGAGGTGCCATACGATTCCTACTGGGTGGAGGACAACACCATGGAGGCGACCTTGATGCTCCAAGAACTGGATGCCGAGCTGAACTTCAAGAAATCCAATTGTGGCAGCGCTAATGTTCGACGAATTCTGCAAGACATCGGAGATCATTACGAGAAGAGCGGCAATCTGCAGATGGCAGTGAAGTTTTACGCTCGAGCCAGGGCCTACTGTACCAGCAGCGAGAATGTGATCATTATGTTTCGCAATCTGATCAGGGTATCCATTTACATGGAAAACTGGTGGCATGTCCTCACCTACATTGACGAGGCAAAACAGTACGCTTTTGGCTTTGAAAACCTGGCTCAAGAAGTTCCTGCTCGTCTGAGTTGTGCTGCCGGTTTGGCCAACTTGGGTTTGAAGATCTACAAATCGGCGGCACAGTACTTTCTGAACACTCCTTTCGGGCGATATGACTACGATAAGATCGTGGCACCCGAAGATGTCGGCCTTTATGCCGGAATCTGTGCTCTTGCCACTTTCGATCGAGATAAGTTGCAGCTACATGCCATCAATTCCGAATCCTTTAAGCCTTTTGCCCAGCTTGCTCCAAAGATATGGAACATCTTGGCCAAGTTCTGCGAGGGGCAGCTTGACACCTGTGCGGAAATGCTACGCGAAATCGAGAATTATGTTAGGATGGATGTCTACCTGTCTCCTCATGTGGACAAACTGTACGATATGATTATGGCCAGACTAGTTCACAAAAGAGACAGGAAAACAAATACCGATTCTGGGAAGAGGCATAGATCTTAATACGGTTTATTTGCATATTAAAAATTTCTCATTGAGCTTCTAAGCTTCTATTTAATTCGACTTAATACCAAAGATGTTTATTAGGCACTTAACTCTAGCTATAATGAAAATTATTTTCTTATTTAATGGATTTGACTTTAAATTTGTATGCAGATAACGCAAGCGAATGCAGACTTTTACCTATTTGATTGCCATTATGTACATAAAAAAGTAAGGCCAAATCCAAAACTTACGAAAATCAAATAAATATTTTTACAACGCATTTTTTCATCTAACCCTTAAATGTTGTTTCTTTTTCCATAATGAATTCTGTTACTGAATGGCCGTTTTTATAAATTGCTGTTTCAAAAAAAATATTTTAAGACTAAATTTTGTACAAACTAATTCTTTGTCGAAAGCTTTGGGCAGCATGACACATTTTTAAATCTTTCCAAAAGTTTCCGTTGGCATCCGTTTCTGCAGCAATTCAGGCACAGCAATAACAACAAAACATATAATTAAATTTTTCGTGTGCTCAGTAGAACGAACGAGCGAACTTGAAATCTCACAAAGAAGAAAGAATAAGGGAAAGAACGAAGGATAACGAAACTTTGGAAGGAAAACTAGTGGGTGGGTGGCATACAGTGAAAGCGGGGAGAAACGGTGAAATCATAAAATATTGCACAGTTGAAGTGATTTTTATGAACTCTTCAAAAGTAGCTCCAAGAAGGCGAATAGACAGTCAAAGAAGTTGGGCCGTTCGTACAACATAAAGGTTTTCGGCACGCTAACGAGCTTAAAGATGTTGCACAAAGTGCGCACCGAAATTGCATTCATAATGGGGCCCAAGGGGGTGGTATGATATAATGCTTCCCAAGCTTTTCACCTGCATCTTGGCATCTCCTATTTACTGCGATTTCCATTGAAAAGCTAAGGCCAAGTCTGGAAAATTCATTTAAGTGGCAGAAAGGTCAAGAGCAGATCAGATTCTAAAGTGCCAAAATGGTAGTAGAGCTCAATGTTTGAGTTGAATACCTATTCTTAAGCAATGGAAAATAAAATAGTTCAAGTTAAAGAATTACGCCATTTTGAATGAAATCAAATTATTTTTCATTCATTTAGTATCTTTCGTTGTACAATTTAAAATATTTCCGGGTGGCAATTGGATTTAATTTTTAATCAGCACACACAAAAGTGAAAAGAATGCATTCAAAGTCTAGCAAGATTTCTAAGAAACACCAATCTTGGGGAATGGTAGAGCCACCTGAGCTGGGGATATGAAAACTATTGGAGGAAAGCGGCGGAAAAAAGGAACGGCGCTGATCTACCTCCACTTGCTAGTCGTGGAAAACTTCGGCCAGACATTGTGTTGAGTAATTCTTTTGTAATGCGGAAGGAAGCCCAAAACAACACAGTGCACAGCGATTTTCCAAGGAGGGAAAGGGTACCAGGGAAAACTTTAAGACAAAGCGCAGAACTGACCTAAGCTCATTGGGCTGGGAAAATAGGGTGGCAAAAGGGGTTCGCAGATAAATTGCTGCAGTGTTTAGTTAATACTTCTGACCGTCTTACGCCTTAGCCTTTCGTCCTTGGCCGCTGCGTCCAATTCAGCAGGATACCGATGGAACAGCAGCGGAGCCTCGCAGCCTCGCAGCCAGATACAAAGAACAAGGAACAGCAGCTGGCTCGACAAGTTTATCTTTTGTTACATTGACTTCCGCTAAAAGATACTAAACTAGAAAACATTCTTCTCCGCTTTCCATTCACTCTTTTTCAGTTTTATTTGCTACCGTTTCCTACAGGTTAGCGTCAAAATCCTCGAGGAGGAGCTGGTGCTTGCTAGAAAAGTTAAACAGAAATTAAAACTCACTCTGCACAGTGGTATGAAACGTCGATAAATTTATACAAATTAAAAATCTTTTAAAAAGAATTTACTTTTTAAAATTTAATATATGTTAAACAAGATTCAAGTTCAAAATTGAAATATTTAATTTTAAGGAAAGTTGTCTTCTGCTATGAAATTCATAAACAAATGTACAGTAGAATCCTGTTATAAAGACTCCGCTTATAGTGTCCGTCCGGGTATTGCGACGAAAACTCGATGGCTTGATTGGTCCCCAGACAGACTTTTACACTTAAATCCTTCTGCTTAGTGCGTCTTCCGGGTATAACGACGAAAAATCGTCGGTCCCTTGAAAGTCGCTATAAGCGGATTCTACTGTATTAAAAAATGAACAGGGTAATCATTTATTTTAATAAATCGCAGGAAGACTATAGTCGTTTGTCAAAAGTCGTTTTAGAACTGAAAATTTCGACCGATAGAAATTGCAGTGTGAAAAATGGACTCGCCGGACGGGTCACGTGTCCAAATTCTGGCCATGGTGGTGCGGGTCTGTGCGGTGACTGCGATTACCTACTTCAGTGCCAAGTGGATGCTCGGCGCCCTGGATCCCAACAGTAAGATGCGCAACAAGGCCAAGCAAGTGGCGGAGCAGCAGTTGCGTAAGCTGAACTCTTCTGTCAGAGATACGGCCCTAAAGATCCGAACCCGCGACTTCAACGAGCACGAGATAGTGATCGCCGCGAATCTCGTAGCTCCCGAGGACATTGATGTCAGTTGGGCGGACATAGCTGGCTTGGATGGAGTTATCCAGGAGTTGAGGGAGACGGTGGTGCTGCCAGTGCGCCACCGCGATCTCTTTCGCCGATCGCAGCTGTGGAGGGCTCCGAAAGGTGTCCTGTTGCATGGTCCCCCTGGCTGTGGCAAAACATTAATTGCCAAGGCAATTGCCAAGGATGCAGGAATGCGGTTCATCAATCTGGACGTGGCCGTGCTGACGGACAAGTGGTATGGTGAAAGTCAGAAGCTGGCCACTGCTGTCTTCACGTTGGCCCAAAAAATTCAGCCGTGCATTATATTCATTGACGAAATCGAATCCTTTTTGCGAGTGCGCGGCAGTGGAGATCACGAAGCCACTGCCATGATGAAGACCCAGTTTATGCTGCAGTGGGATGGTCTCATGAGCAACGCCGATGTTTGTGTCCTCGTCCTGGGGGCCACCAATCGGCCGCAGGACCTTGACAAGGCCATCCTTCGGCGAATGCCGGCACAATTTCACATCGGAGTGCCGCGTGACTACCAGCGAAATTCGATCCTCAACTTGATCCTGAAAAGTGAGCAGCTACACTCCGCAGTCAACCTCCCCGAACTGGCTCGCTTGACTAATGGATTCTCGGGATCCGATTTGCGGGAATTATGTCGCCACGCCTCCATGTACCGCATGCGCCAGTTTATGCGCGAAAAGCTAGACATCGGTGAGGGAGCCAGAGAGGGTGAATGGGGGTTAAGCTTGGAGAAGAAGGACCAGAGCCTTCCGGAATGCGAACAACTGGAAATACGCATGGAGGACTTTCTAAAATCCCTTACTGTCATGAAAGTGTCCAAGTTTCAGGCGCACAGCCTTGTCGAAAAAGATCTCGATTTGGACTAGGGCCACCAAAAAAATCGGGAATATAAGCTGAAAAAGGATCTATGAAAAAGTTTCTAAGTCCGACAATAAAAGCTGCACATGCTTTAATTTTTAAAACCGTTTAGAGCAAATTTGTAGTTTACGATTGAAAAACGTTTCGTAAAAGAAAAATTAAAAATGTTTTCGATAAGTAAAACAATAATTTAATGAAATGTGCGTTTTAAAAGCAGATTAAATAAAATGTGCTTAAGACTTAGAATTATATATCTGCACTATACTTTTGTCTGTCTGATTCTGCATAACGAAACCACCCACTGTATATCTTCTTATGCCATCCTATCCAGCTTTTAACACCCCGCCCTGTCAGCCCAACCAATATTTTTCACATTTCATGGCATGCATGAGGAGTTTTTGCATCTATGAAGAGCAGCGAAAAAAATCTGAAAAAAAAAGACTGGAACCAGAAGCGGCTGCGAAAGAACAGCAGCAGCACAGTGGCAACAAAAACTCAAAATAACAACAGCTACGACAGCAACAACAAAAAATCTTTTATGTAAAATTGAATATTCATAAGTTGTTTCACAGAAGCGGCAGAAGCCTAACTACGAGCCTCAGTCTCCGCCTCGTTTGCTTCTGCTATACCCTTGCCAATTGTATTTTTATTTTCCTCATGCATCTGCTCTTTTCAGGAAGGAGAAGTTAATTAATAAATACAGTGTGCAGTAATGAAGTGCGAGTGTTCATAGTTGCTTTATAGTTGTGTGGTTTTTTTCCCATTTCAAAATATTTGTCGAAGCATACTTGCTTTAAGAAATAGTTTTGGCGTTTTAAAGACGTTGTTGCATACTTCTAGAAAAATCTTTAAAAGGTTTATAATCTTTCGGGAAAGTCTTTTTCAATTTAGCTGAAATATTAAATCTAAAAAAATATGTAGTCAAATAAAAATGTAAGTCTAATCTATCCAACTATCTCCTTAAACACATCTAACGCTATAAATAAATCTTTTTGGATAAAATTATTTATGATACAGATTAATCTCACAATTTTTAATAGACAATTTATCGAATATTTTATTTGAACTTTTAGTTTAAGAGTACTTTTTGATTCGGTTTTTGAAGCATCGACTTCGTTTCTTTTTGTTGCGATTGTTGTTGCGTTGGACGGGCAGTTGATTGTTTTTGTGTGTAGTTTTGTTTGGCTGAGTGAACCTGCAGACGCTTCCGTGCCACGCCCCCACCCCTGCCTCATCCGCCCACGCACACTTACCCACACAGGGACCCGCACACACACACATACAGATGCAAAAGCTGCCGTTGTTTGCTATTTTGTCATGCAAATTGTATTTATTGCGGCCAAAAACCAACAACAACAGCAGAGCCCAGAGAGATAGGAGGCGGAGACAACGCCGCCCCGCCCCCTTGTAATTGTTTGCTATTTGTCATTGTGTGCGTGTGTGGAGTGTGGGAGTGGGGTGCGTATGGACGTGTGTGCGCTCCATTGTAAACAACAAAATTGACTGCCATCGGCGGACAGTAAACTTGGGAGCACATTTCCCGAATTCTCCGAAATTCAAAGCTTTTGGTGCCGACGGTCCTACGATCGAGTGTAGAAATGCGAAAAGAGCGACTTTTCAAAAATATACGAGCTTTTTTTTTAATATTGACATACGAAGGTTGGAATCGCGTGGATAAGCTTCATTGTCGATAATAACAAACCGAGAGCTTCGACCGCTCGGCAGGCAGAAGCAGTAGCGCAATGAAAGCTAAAGAAATCGGAATGTCGGTTCTCACCAGACTTCTATTATTTTTACTTCCAATACCGGTATTAACACAATTTATTGACGGCGAGTGTGGAATTCCTTCAAACAGTTCGTTGAGTCCTTGGATTGCTTTTCTACATACGACTGACTTAATATTCGTTTGCAGCGGTACGCTGATCACCCACAGTACGTATATAAATTATTTATATTAAAATCAAATTATTGTATAGTATATAGGGTATAAGCGAATACTTTTTTTAATAACAACCAAAGCGATGCAACTAAGCTAATTCTTTTTTTTCAGAGCTCATTCTTACAGCAGCTCATTGCATTGAGGCGAATTCAGAACTGTAAGTAATAAAAAACATATCCAGAAATATGTAAATGAGAACAAATTGTTTCTGTAACAGAATAGTTCGTCTGGGGGAGTTTGGAGGGAGCCGGGAAGAACATCGCCCCCCAGAAGAGCATCATGTAAAATATGTTTACAATCATCCCTTTTACGACATGGATACAAATGCCAATGACATTGCTATTCTAGAGCTGGTTACTTACGTTATATATACAGGTAGGTTTTTCAACTTTTTTGGTATTCAAACATTATTATTTATTATTAACTTTTTCATGAAATAGATAACATAAGACCAATTTGTATTTTGTGGCATCCTTCTTGGAAACGCTATGTCGACACTATCCAGGTGCTCACTGGTCTTGTATGGGGAAAGCGCAAGAACGAGAACGACACTGATAAATATAGGACAGTAGATATTCGGCGTCAGCCTCCAGAAATGTGCGTCACTTCTTTAGGTATGATATTTACCAGCCAGATCTGCGCGGGAAATCCGGAAAGCAATTTGTGCAACCCCGATTGCAGCAGTCCGCTTGGTTCGTTTATTATGCATAAAAACTTATATAGGTTTGTCCAAATCGGCATCGCCACCACAAACCAAAGGTGTAATAAGCCAAGTATTTACACGGACGTTTTTAGCCACATTGAGTTTATCCTACGCGTGTGGAGACAATACGGGAGAGATCAAAGTCCTCCAATTCCAATCCAAACGACAACGACTTCGGCACCAAGTTTTGGGGTTCCAAAAATGTCTCTGGAGAATGATGATATTGTTGAGGAAATAAACATCTATCAACCTAGTTTACCAATTATTGGTAACTAACTTTCTTATAAACAAATTCATAAAGTTACTAACACACGGTAATAATAAGTTCACAATCAAATTACAAAAATCTACTTTGTTGAATTTTTTGGGCTCATCTAGTATTAAATAACATCATTTGTATTTATACTCGCTTATCGCTTAAAACATTATAAAAACTAAAAAAAAATGTCTTATGAGTTCACTAATTTATCTGGCTAATTTAAGTGTCGCTTAAATTACGATTATATTGCGCCGGTTTTCTTGATGGTATTATGCAAATTGCTGTAATAAAATCCGCACCAGTTGTGACGCTTCACGAGTGTTTGTAAAAGAGCACAATTGGCTAGGGAGAACTTTACGAGACGGGATTTTACCAACCACACAAACCTTGAAAAATCAATTTAATTAATTGCTGTAAAGCAGCCAGACTCATATGACACTAACCCCTTTCAGTCAATAAAGTTTAATGAGTCAGCTAGCTAAGTCTATTAACAACAAGATATAAAATAAATTTCCCATTTTAAAAGGCCCCAGCCAAATTACAATTTGTATTCTTTTATGAATTTTTTTTAATCAGAAAATTCAGCCTTCTTAAAATTTTCTGACTATTAAAAAGTAATGGCATATTTATCAGTTGATTTAAATATTAACCTCAAAAGTCCTCCAGTTGACTATTTCAATTAAAATGTGATTTTCCGTAAGCCACTTGATAATTAACACACTCTTTAAATGACAATTTCTTTGCTTCGGCTGTTGATAAACTGCATAATTTATGTAATTCGCTTCACCAACAGACATACTCACAAGCACTTATTGATGACAATTATTTGAAATACTTTTAAGTGAGTGGGCAATAGTTTATTGAATTAATAATTAACTGCAATTGCGTAATACAAAATTTATTTAATTGCTGTCATCGAGTGGCTGGGAGCAATCAAACCCCCATGTGCATCATTAAATTATTTTAGTTGCATTCATAATTTAATTGATTTAAATGGAAATAGCGATTTCTCTGTCAATTATCGCACCCCTTTTAGCACAATGTCCCCACAAACCGAGCTGGCTTAGAATAATTGATGACATTTGATATTAATTACACTTTACAATCCAACTTGAATCCTTTAATTGCAAACTGTGCATCATATTTTTTGCAGTTGCATTCCGGCAGCTCTCGAGGCTGAAACTAATTTCATTATTGTGCATTAATCATGTACCGCGTGTTAATAAATATTAATGCCCTTCGGCCAGCCAGCCTACTGCCAATTTTAGACCATAAAATTTCCGGAAAACGATGCAAAAAGTATACTGATTTATTGCAATGGGCAATAAAAAAACCCACAAGTTTATTCAACGAGTGGAGTTGTAAAAAATCATACGCAAATAGCAATTAATTATCTAGTAATGAAACGAAATTTTTCCGCTTATCCTTAAATAGGCCTTTGCATACACTTTGTAAAAATTTGAGTGTTAAATATCTCTAAAAATAACTGAATTATGAAATCTTACCTATGTTTTATAATTGAAAGTTGGCTTTGATCCTATAAAATAAATAAGGAAATCTTGTGTTAGTTACAGGTACTAATAAAACTACTATTTTTTTTTAAATAAATCTTTTAAAAATCAGTTGTACTTCATTTAGAAATCAGAAGAGTATTATTTTGGTGGTTCTTGTGGCCATTTGTTGCATGCGGTGCAATACTGGTTGTATCGGTCTCTTGGTCGTTAAACGCATCTGTGTGACAGAAAAAAATGAGTGGAAAAAACTATATAACTCCTTTGAAAAGACACAAAAAGAGAGAGACAAAATGAAGGGACGAAAGAGACTATGAGAAAAGTGGGGACTTCAGGCTTTTTTAGGAAAATGGTAAAAACTGTGCTTTTGCCCATGACCATTTCTATTTCCTCTGGCCATTTCTAAAATTTGCATTTTTCATGCCACAATGTATAAAATTCATATTTATAAATCTTTTAACTGCACACACCACACCAAACACAAAATGGGACACATCAAAAAGCCAAAGCACAGACAGAAGTAAAAATGTGAAAATAGGAAATGAAAACGAGAAAAAAAACAGCACTGAACCTCAGGCAGTCGACTTTCCAAACATTCTATCCATAGCAATATATGTGTGGATAAAATCAATTTGAATTATTAATTATTTATTTATGACAAGAAAATAAAGCTAAAAATATACCAATAAATAGACTTTACAGTATTCTGTAAGTTAAAGTTCTATTATTTGGAAAGATAACTCAGGGAAGAGTATTCGAAAAACTTAAATAAAAATAATACAGAACCATTCACACTCTTCGCACAAAAAAGAACAACACCAAAGGAGGAGATATAAAAATGTGTTGCAAGTCAGAAGTGAATGAATGAATGAATGTGAATGAATATGACTTTGCCACACCGAGCAGAACACAATAAAAATGTTAGGACCTTACTGGCCAGTGGGTGAGCGGAATCCGAAAGGCAGGAAGCGGAAGAGAGAGCGGGGAAAGCGAAAGTAGAGCGCACGGAATGAGACACCGCTGCACGGCGCTGTGATTTTTCATTTGGAGCGATTTTCCTTCGGCTTCCTTGGGCAACAGTTGCGGTCGAACGGGGAGGGAATCTGAACGCGTGCGGCATGCAACTGCAAAGTGACCGAGGGACGCCGTCTGCAGCACGTATTAAAAAATTGCTTAGCCTTTTAGCCTCTGACTTTTGCATATACAAGCGATTCCCTTATTTTTGGCCTTTGAATAATAAATAAGTTTTGGTCTTCTCGGGCTTTTCATTCTGTGTACTCTTGCAGGAGGCTTATATTTTGTGGCCAAATATTTTGAAAACGTGGTCTAGACATATTTAAATGTTTCTAAATATTGTTTTTTATTGGACTTCGTTCCCAAAAAAAAATATTTTAGACGAATATTATTTCTAATTAAGTGTTTATAAGCTGGTATTTTCCTTTATATGCAGTTTAATTTCCTTTGTATTATGCGGTGTGCACTACTCGCATTTGAATTAATTTGAAATTCATAACATTTTTATAAGTAGAGACCGAAGAGCTTGCACAAATTCCGTAGCACACTTTGCAGGGCACGCCACCTCTTATTTGCTTCTGATTCCGAAGTAACCATCTCTGGCGTTGCTATTTTAATTTTAGCCTGCCACGCGTTTGCAGAAATTAGCGTGATGCACTCCCCAATTCCACTCTTCCTGCCACTCAGATACATTTAACTTTGGGTCTACGTTAAGGGCGTTGACGTTGCATTTTTCCCTGCACGCTTAACAACTTTGCTGCGCCAAAGTTGTTCAAATAAAATGGTAGAAAGGAAGTTTGGCTGGGAGGCTGAAAGTCGCGAAGGAGCCTTTATTTAGCTTCGCATGGCTGGCGGGAAATTTTACCGCACGGAAGGAAAAACTTCATGTTTTCTTGAGTACCAAATTTGATTACCAATTTAACCAAATTCATTTTTATTATTAACATATTAAATTCACGAAAATAATACAAAAAAATCTGTATAAGCTGGAAACCATTTTTTTTTTTTTTTGGGTTTTTGAAAAGAACAAACTCTAAGGATTCTCTCTGTGCAGAATGTAGGATGCTGATGACTATCTCTGCTCCTCGGTTCTTTCTACCTGTCGTTGGCATTCTAATTAGCGCTGACTCGACGCACCAGCCACCCTCACGCTCCCCGCTTCCTAAAAACAGTGACTTCTTGGGCCGATCATGGAGCGCTTCGTTAGTCGCGTGCGTGTGACATTGTGTACATGAAACAATTATGCAACATTTACGCTCAACTCATAAAAATGTCCTCGTGTGCTCATGTTCAGCAGCAATGCTTTTTAACTTTTCTTTCTTCGAAAAAAGTAGACCGAGTCGGGAAAGCAAATATGTATCAAAGGAAGCAAATTGCAGTCAACATTAGCCTTTTCACATTTGAAGCTTATTACGAAGTGCATTTTTGAAATTGAGCTTCTTTACCAAAATTTATCTAAAGATATCACAAAAGAAAATAAAGTTTATTCCTTTGATTGTAGTAACAAAACTCAAGAATATGACTGAAAATATTAAAAACTAGTTAAATGACTGACATCCTTCTTAAACAGTTTCCCAAATTACCAGCGCAAAGTTCAAACAAAAATGAATTAAGAATGAATTGCAAAAAGCGAATGCCAAATCCGCGAAATCTTTCCCCTCAATCGCAAACCTTCCAATTTTCCGCCACCACCAATAATTGCTTGCCCAGCGCAAAATTTTTCGCTGACTTCATTAAAAATAACACAAAAAAATCTCTAACGAAAAAAAGAATACAGAAATAAAATTGCAAGCAAAATGAATGAGTGTGGGCCACAAAGTGGAGAGAGAGAATGGCATCGATTGAGTTCAATTGGGGGCCACCGGATGGAGTGGAGGCAATTGTAAAATGGCCAGACCATGAGCTAAGCCAATAATCAAGCCCATGTTGGGGTTGGGGGTTCCCGATGTCTGGCAGGTGGGCGGGGAGCGGGGATTGGGGGGCGGGGCAGAGGAGAGGCGGACCGGACTTTGCGGTTCGGGAGGCGGCAGCTAATTTATTACGAGCATTTAACAAGCATACTCCTGGGGTTCTCTCACGAGCCCGCTTTGATTTATTAGGTGTTTGGTTTAAAAAAAAAAGCAAGCCAACGAAATGAAAAGCACAAGAGCACGAGCTCGAGCCGGGCGAACGAAGTAACAAGGACGAAGGACCAAGAACCAAGGAACGGACCGGATGGGCAGGCTGCGAAATTCCGAAACACTAATGTGAATGTAATTTGTAGTTAATGTGCTGTCGGTTGGCATGTGGGCGGGCTCTTCGGCTATTCAAGCATTTTAATTGTTCAAACAAAATCGGGATTTGGCGGAAGTTTCCCGAGCCTTCATTCTATTCACCGCGCCACGCCCCTCAAAATGAACTCCGATTTGGACCCACAGCCCTTAATTTAAGGTTTCTACAGCGTTATGAACTCTTTTACATTTTTTGTTGTGCCCCTATATTCGTTTTTAAATACTTGAATAGTGCCAATTGTTTAATAAGTGTACATTTAGTTACTTTTTTAATTCCTTTAACAGTATGTTTTATTCAATAGCTTGAATTGGAAATGCAGATATTAATGCAACCTCAGTTGCATTACCCAGAGGTACATTTAAAGGAATCGGTGTCGTTGTACTTAGTGTAGAATCAGTTTGATTTTTACCATAAGACCGCCACGCTTTGAGAATAAAGTCGATGTGGCTGAGCACGTCTGTGTAAATACTTGGCTTTTTGCACCTTTGGTTCGAGGTTGCCATGCCGATCAGGACAAAACGACGTAAGTTCCTGTATGAAACCATTGCCCCCAAAGGACTACTGTAGTCCACAGTGCACAGGTAGCTCTCTGAATTTCCCGCACAGAATTGGGTGTTCAAAATGGATGCCTCATTTGAGGTGCTGCACATTTTTGATGGCTGGCGGCTAACGTCTTGAGTCATGAAGGAATCGCTTTCATTCTTTTCTGCGGCTATTCCCCATCTATATCCGGTGAGCACCTGGATATTGTCGATGTACTGTCTCCAAAAGGTCCACCACAGAATGCAGATGGGTTTGATGTTTTCTGTACGATGAAATAAGTAAAATAGAAATTATATCTGTATCTAAGCTAAAATTTAATTTAAGTTGTTGAACTTGTCTTTAGGTCATCAGAGAATGGTTAATTATAACGAAACAAACCTGTATACACCACATCCGTGGCTAACCCGAGGATTGCAATATCGTTGTCAAATGTCTTCATATTGTAGGATGGATGCTTAAAAGTTTGGTTAACAAGAAACCCTGATTGCATTGTGTCATTTTCTTCACGAAATCCTGTTAACTCCCCAAGGCGGGCTACTCTGTGATAAAAATGAGTTAAATTCACTTTTTTTTATTTGTCGGGAGTAACTTACAGTTGCTCGTTGTCCTTAATGCAATGTGCGGCTGTTAATACGAGCTCTATAAAGGATTTATGTCGATTAATATAGCAAAAGAAAATAATTCACCAGTTTTTAAATATATGAAACAAACTTTGAGAAATCAGCGTTCCGCCGCACACGTATATCAATTCGGTCGTATGCAGATAAGCCATCCAAGGAGCCGAGATATTATTCGCAATCTGGCTTTTCCGTGTTATTCCACAGTTGCCATCGAGGTATTGGGTTAATCCCGCCTTGAAGAGAAGAAAGAGCAGGAGAGTTGAGAGCGTTGAGATTCCGATTACAACAGTGTTCATTGCGTTACTGTCGACTGATCGGCTGCGGTTTTCTTTTTAATAAGCTCGACCGCAAAGCTTATCAAGCATTTCGTTCCGAGAATTCAAATGGATTAGACGTTGGTCCCGAGCATAATAATAATAGGTTTGTTAGTCATCGTATATGAAATTTTCTAAGATTTGTTACTGAAGTAATCAGTGTACTTACGAATAATTAAAATATAAAATCAATTATTGCAACAAAAAAAAATGCAAATTACAAACCAACCTGCAAATTACATACAAACCTAAAAAATTTCAAGTTTAGCTTGAGTAATAACGACATCTAATAAACATGTAAATTTGAAGGTTATTACTTCTAAGAAAATTGTGTTTTATAAGACTTCAACCATGATTAATCTCAAGGGAAGCCAGTCTCCCAATTTTCGCTTTCTTTTATTGTTCCGCCTCACGGGTTTTTTTTGTTGAAAGTGGGCAATGTTAAATGTGAAATCACATTGTTGAATTCCATCTCCTTTTGTCCCTGTTGTACGATGGCGTTCGCATCGCAAGCTTTGGCATCGGCGGCCATTAAAGGTCATAAATCACAACATAGCATAGAAATAAATCAACCCTTTATTATCAACACATCGCAATGTTTGTTATCGAAAGGGTTATTTATAGTTCTCCTGGGAGTGAAGGGCAGAAAGAATCGGGCCGAGGCCGCCGGAATTTGTGAATATATTTACCGGAATTAACTACGGCTCACAGATCGAGTTCAAGGTTGAAATTCGCTGACCGAATTGCCAACTTATCGGTGTGTCTGTGTGTGAGCGCATTTTTGTGTGTCCTGGCAAGCTCATTAAGCAAATCGCATTATTTGCTCATACGAATTCAAGTATCTTTCCAGTGCACTAAGCACACAGAACGCTCTGACAGCCCCACAAGGAGCTTCATTTGCTGGCAATTGAAAGCCTGAAAAGACACACTGGGGAAGAGCGAGAGCTGCACATGGAAAATGAATACATCATTAGCTGCATGAAATGTCCTTGCCGACTCAAACGTTTCCATGCACCGAAAAAATGTTTCTCTTGAAAGCAAAGTGTATTTTACCTAAAATATAAAAAATGTTATAGAAAATTCTTATCAACGTTATTTACCACTATCCACTATCCATTCTGTTTGTAAATTGCTCCTTCATTTCCTTTAATCATATGCAACTAGAATTTCTTGCCGTGTAGATACCTACACACACGTTTAAATGAACGTGTACGGCAGCTACAAGTGGACAAAGCCGACTCTAAGTGGCTGAAGAACGAAAACCCGAAAGGAGGACGAAAACATCAACGCTCCATGGCTACTTAAACGGCTTAGGTTTGAGGACTTATGCAACTTGTTAACTAATTACGTGCACAGCAGCATAAAGTGGCTTAAAACACACGCACCTGAGCTACTTGAGCATCGAACAAAGAGCCAATTTTTCATAGTGCCCAGGCAATAAACTCAAATTGAGTTAATAATGCCGAATTGATAATTTTATGGAAACAAGTTGTAATCTCCCAAGCATTGTGCAAGTTGAGGCTTTCTTCCTTGTGGGGATAAAATGCAGTACAATCAAGAGAAGCCAACAAGCTAAGCTTTAAGCAGTGGCTTTGATGGTGAAATATTTTTTATGACAGTATATTCAATACAAATTAAGTGGATTCTCCGTCTGAGATATGTTTTTTCTAAGTCAACATTATTCATCATTGTTTTATGTATACGTTACATAATACTAACCAATTTTGCAATAAATTTAAGAAGAGTTAAGGATTCCCTTCATCAACATCTTATGCAAAATATAAAACTTTCAATAAATTTAATTAAATCTTCATAAAAAGCGTTTTAAGAAAAATGCATTTATTTACAAATTGAACAGATTTTAATTGAAAAAATCAATTTCATTAATCACACTTCCCCTTTTTTTCTTTTTAATTAAGTGTAAGCCTTGATCTAACTTTTTAAATTGATAAATTTTGTTTGGTCTTCTTTGTTGGCAGGTGTTCAATAAGTTAATTTCCTGCCTGTTTCCTGATTACTGCGCCGTTGTACAAATTAAGTGTGGATGTTTATTGACAAGCTCAAAAAGCTTTTGATTAACATAGTTGTGGAACGATTTGAATGATTTTTTTTAACAAAAAATTCAATTCAGAACTTTAAGAAAACACTCCAAGTACTTCAAGCACTGATAAACAAATGTAAGTTGAGTTGAAATAGAAGTAATCTAAAAAAAATTTTACAGACAATCGAAGAGAAAACAGAAGGAAAATGCAAAGGAGAAAAAAAGGTTCAAAGGGAGTTAAAGCAAAAAAATAAGAGATGAACCAAACAGTCATTCAATATAATAAATCACACCTTTGTCACTCAATGCGAAAACGTATTTTTCCAATTAAAAGCCAAGGAACGTTTCCCTGCAAATTACTTTAACCTTTCGTCGGCCATCGGGTCGTCGACATGTAATTAGTTGACAAAGGTGTTTGTGCTTGTTCTTGCCAGACGGTTTGGGCCGGGCTTAATTGAATTTTTATCTCATTCAATGTGGCGCCTTTCCTCTGTACTTCAGAAAAAGTGTAGTGAGAAGGAATCGCAAATAAAAGATTTAATTTAGAAAAAGGTCGACACTCCAACGAAGTTAAAATCAATGCAAATTTTTGCAGCTCTTTACTTTCATTGTTGAGGTTGTGCTAGACGTTTAATATTTTACCATTTTTCAATGTGAATTTACCAAAATGTTTTAAATTTAGTTTTATAGGTACTTGGCACCTTTGTCAACAGCAAGCAAATTATAAATTACCATATTTATTGGTAAGAAGCCCTTACTTAATTGCCACGAACTTGGCACCTCAGAGGCGAGCAAAAATTTGTTCGTTTGTCAACATTGTTGATTTTGCGCCAGGCGCTTCTTTGTTTCTCATTTGTAAGCCATTGTTGTTTGTTTTCGCGCTGTTCTGCCACCAAAATGGACAGGTGGTCAAAGCGGGAGGTCCTGGGAGTGGCATCAAACCGCAGCAATGTCAACAGCGTAAGCCGATTGCGTGGAATTTTGCCATTGTTCCCTTCGATCTCTCCCAGGGGATTGGCTGCTCCGCACAAAGTCAAATGATAAGTCAATTGTTTGGCTTGATATTCCTGTTACCCCAGCAACGCCGCCTCCAGCACTCAGAAAAATAGTTTACTTTAGTATTAAAAATATCGATACTTAAATGAAAATATTTTAATAAGCCGTATAACAGATAATACGAAAATTTAAATAATTAAACGTAAAAATTAAATGTAACACTATATTATTAAATTCCATAAAATTGGATTTTAGGGCCCTAAATAATTGTTTTTGAAGGTATCCCTTTTGCAAAAAAGGGAGCGTACATTGCGAAATAAAAACCATAGAAAAGTGCAACTAACTGCAGATCTGGGCTTGCCTATTATTAGCCACATTTAGTTTCAATTTGCGGTCGAAACGATCTAATTATTTATTATCCTGCCCAGCCCTGCCTTGTTGACCATCCCGCCCAAGTTCCAAGTTCCGACCCTTCAAGTCTAGTGCGGTGGCTTTTATGGCCGCCAATTGCGCTTAAGTGGGAAAGCAGCAACTTTACGAGCGTTCCTCCAGTTGCTCCCACTCGAGCCACCTCCACTGCGATTCAATTCAAATTGGCACGCAAGCCAAATGAAGTTATGAGTTTGGTCAAGAGAGAGGCACTAAATTGAAGCGAGTGTGTGTGCCGTATTTTAGCTCCTTGTTGCTTTAGATTTGCTCGGGGGAGGTCTTAAGGAGTCCGAATCGGAACAACAAGTGTGTACTGTGTAGCCAAAATACTACGGGGCTGTGTGGATACCCTACCCAAGAAAAGCAGATTAAAATTTTGAAGAATTATTAAAACCGAATGCATAAAATTTTTTTCATGTAAAACTAAGCAAAACGAATAAAAATCTTAAAATAAGACTTGAAACTTAAAAATTCAGAAGGTCAACGTCTAAATGTTGTATCTAAAAATGAAATTAATTTTCATACCTTGATATATTTACCCGAAATATATCACGACTATCGTATCCAGTGAGCAAACTTCCTGAACCTCTGCAGAGCTCGTGTATACTCCGTGCTCCTCCACGTCCTGCTCAACATTTGCAGAACAAACAGTCGCCGTGGGAAATTATTAGAGACAAATAAATTAAATTTTATAGCTTGGGTGCGCTAACACGGAAGGAAGGAAGGAAGGCAGTCACGACAGTCGAGGGCAGAAGTCGATGGAAGGGTCTCAATTTGATTGGCGATTGTTTGGGGGCAATTATAGATTTGGTTCGCTTGTTTTCTGGGAGCCTTGAGTGGCGGAGTTGCCCGATAGAGCCCTTTTACTATATATTTGTATGGGCAGAGATGGCTGGTTATCCCTTACTGGCCAGTACCATGGCCACTTCAATTTCCTTCAGCTCCATTTATGGCTGGAACATGCAAACTAAAAGTTAAGTTTTCTGCGAACTCCGAACCCAGCTGAATAACAACAAAAGCCGCTCGACTCGATGGCGTTTAACAAAGTTATTGGCTTCCTCTCGCTTCCGCATCGCAGTGTTCTTGGCCATCATCAACACTCTGTCTGTCCGATGCGCCAGTTCTCCCACTTCCTCCCACTGCGCTCCTCGGTTTCTTGCCACCTTTTGTTTTTTACAAGCACTTTGCAAATATTTATGGCTGAAAGCAGCGTAAACAATAAACTCATAAACTGCAGCGACGACGTCTGCGTCACAGGACACAGGACACTGGACGCAGGACGCAGAACCCAGCGGGCAAATCGATTTTTAAAATGAATTATGTTTGCAGTTATGCAATACGTACATATATAGTATATTTATGGATAAAATTATGTACGTGTCATGAAATGATATGCCCATCTCTGTACCGTAAAATACGAAAGAAACCGGAAATGGTACATCAGATTTTATAAAGTGCGGGTACATGAAAAGTTTGTTATAATTTTTTAACAAGAATATATATCTCTATATATACCAAAAAAAAAATCTAATCATATTAGAAAAAAATTTAAAAACATTTTTTTTGTTCGTTTTATTAACTCATTTATAGGGTATTTCTTATTCACTAATTTTCGATATTTTAACTTCACAGCGCAGGCATTTATTATCAAGTAAATTTCATTTTGTTTGTACAGCACTTTTGTCTTTGTTGGGAAACCTCAAAAAGAACGTGCATATGTTGATGTGTCGATGGCAAAGGACAGTCTGTGTCACTTATAAATTAGCTAAATATTTTGGCAGTGACTCCATTGCAACCGACGACACACACATTCTGCTCCTTTGGCCAAACAAAGCGCATGCATATGCATCCTAAAACTCTATTTGCTCAAAATTCTGAATGCAGAAATTGCGCCAGTGCTGGAAGCTGTACTGCCAGTTGTTAAGCAAACATTTACCATAGAACTGGAATTCAGCTATGGAAATTAGAGTCCACATTGAAATTAGCAGGCGATGCAGCGTAAATTATGTCCCAAAACTCGGAGAAAACATAACATGAATATCAGCGTATCGCTACGAAAATTTTATACACAACTATTTAACCGGGTATATAACAACAGAATATAAATGGTTCACACAAAACAAATCAAAAGTGTTTTTAGTCGATTTTATTTACAAGCCAAAGAGACAAATAATTACCACGTTAGATAAATGACAGATAAATGACTTGAATAAGAATTGTGTTTAGCCACGTTGGTTCATAATTGCTCACATACTATAAAAGATTCCATTTCTGATGGGTATGATGGGATAAAATCTGTCTGATATGTAACGGATTTAAGTTTTAATCAGGATGATCTGCCTAAAATTTTTTACTAATTTGTGCTATTGCTAGCGGCGAAAAACATTACAACAGTTCTTGACATCGTCAATTCAAATGTTGCTAAGGGCAATTAAGCTTAGGGCCGAAACGAACAATTTAAAAAATTTGAATGCAATGTTATCTGATTTTATATTTCTACACGTCTACATACAGTTTCTCCTGTTTTTCGGACAATTGTCGACTGCAAACTCTTGTAATCCTAATGAATCCAGCACCTATTTATTTTTCATTGTGGGAAATTGTGCAAATGCCATGACAACAGTTCGTTTTTGGGGCCTCGAATGCCACGCATACACGAAGCCACACAGCTTGACCATCATACGAATGCGAGTGTGTTCGATTGTTTAAATGTGCCAGAACAACAGTGCAAAAAAAGCACACACGACCGAAGAGAAAATCTGGGAATTGCTTCCACGAATGTTTAGCACTCTTTTGAACAGTAAAAGTTAGAAAGGGGAAGGTAATGCAGTGCCTAAAATATCTAAATATATCATTATATAATGACAAATATCGATATTTACCCAGCTGTCCTACTGTTTGATTTGCAGGTAATCAAGTTAGGAAGTTATTAAATTACTCTGCTTTGTATCTGCCCCTAAGCTTCAGTTGCGTAGATGTATCTGCAGATTGGTGAGGGTATTCAAAACAAGACAGATACTGATGTAGATTCACTCCTGGTTGTTGTTTGCATACATCAGTCTGAGCTCGGGGAATAGGCTTTTGGGAGCAGAGAGGGGCAAAAGTGGCAGGGTGGATTGCTGACAGATAGACAGTATTTGCTGCTATTTTGTTACTGCTTGTTACTGTTTCACATGAGGCTTTGTCTCTCATCAGTTTAATTAGTTGGCAATGCTTTTGCTTTGCTTTTTGCCCGACCCCTTCCAAACACCAATTCTCTACCACCCTGGAAAACAAAAGCTTAGTCGGAACAAAAATAATAATTGCTGTGCATTTTGTTTCCAAGAATAAAACATATGCAACTGATGTTCGGGCTGTGACACATGTCTGTATTTATTATTATTGATTTATAGATTTTATTGCTAAAAAAGATTGTGTTTTGAAAGAACGTTGTACAATTTTGGCTGTCATAAAAGCAAAACTTGACTACATTTTTGTTTTAAAAAGTTTGTGAATCCAAAAACAATGAAAATTAAAAAAAATAAACTGGAAACTGATTTGGATACTGCACTGGAAAATAACTTGGATATAAATATTCGTCGGAGTACTCCCCAGAATCCCAACTATAATCGTCTTCGAAACTCGGCTCGAATTCTACAACAGGACGACGAGTCGTTGTTGTTCTCTTCGTTGTTGTCCTCGTCGTTGTTGTTGTTGGTTGTTTTGTCGTTGTTTTTATTGTCGGTGGCTTTACTGTCGTCTTTGGAACTGGAGATTTTTGTCCATTTCCGAACTGCTTATACACCCGAAGAATAAAGTCTATGTGGCTCATGATGTCGGTGAAAACACTTGCTTTCTGACACCTTTGATTTGTTAGGCTGGCAATGCCGATCTGAATAAAGCGATGTTTGTTTTTATAAGGCACCAGAGCCCCTATTGGACCGCCAGAATCGCCATTGCACAGATTACTTAGCCAATTCCCCGCGCAAAACTGGTTACTTTCGAGAACACTGCCAATAAATTGGGTGCAAACTCCTGGTGGTTGGCGGCGAATGTCCAGTGTTCTGAGTTCATCACTATCAAGACCTGATTCGGTAATACCCCATCCTGTGGCGGTCAACATTTGAATGTTATTGATGTACTGCCTCCACTTGGTATCCCAAACAATGCAAATGGGTCTGATGTCATCTGTGCAGAAAAAGTATGTAGATAACCAGAGATAAAAATAGTATAACATTTAAGAAATTGCCAACCCACCTCTGTAAACCACAGGTTTTGCCAGTCGTAGAATGGCAATATCGTTGGCATGTGTTTTTGGATTGTAAAGGCGATGCTGGAAACCCGCGTCCACCAAATGCGTCGATCGAAACTGGCAGTGATTGTTTGTACAGCCATTTGGTCGGCTCCTTATATACTCCCCAAGTCGAGCGTATCTGCAGATACAAAATACTTTATATATTGGTACTTTGAGCTTTTATGAAATTTTTAACGTTTTGCTATGACTTACAATTGCTTCTTTGATTGAAAGCAATGGGCTGCAGTGAGTACGAGTCCTGAAAGAAATTGGAACGCTCAATTTAATAAAAATAAATAATGTGTATTATAAATGTTCACTGAACCACAATTATACAAACTATTAGTAATCAGGGTTCCTCCACACACGAAAGTTTCGTCTGTTGCCTTTAGAAAAACCATCCAGGGACTCGAATAAGGTTTCGCTATGGTGCCATTTTTGACCCGCGTTGAAAATGTTTGTGCCCGAATTCCACAAGCTGGGTCTAGAAATTGACTAGATCCGAGAAAAGGGAGAAGAAGCAGCAGAAACAGCTTAACTATTGATAGGATTTCCATCACTAAAGTTATAATAAGCAAATGCAGCCAAATCAGTCTTTAATCTCGTATTTATAATGCGGACAATGCAGCTTATCAAGAAATGTATTCCTGGAAATGTTGATACGCGAAACTTGTTAATCAGTTTTTAATTTTATTTATAGCACATTTTTTTCCATAGAATCCTATCGTTTACAGTGTTTATGCAATGAATCTGAGGTTCCATAATACAGACAATTGTAGAAGAATAATTATATCACATGAATGGAAGTGATATTGAAACCCGTTTTCAGATATTTCACAAATGTGATTTTAAATTTACCAGAAAATAGGCAATGAAAAATGAAAACCGCCGGGATTTGGATTTCCATCCCAATTCAGTTGAAAATCAAAATTATTTCCGTCGCCGTAGTCGAATATGGGTCTTGGAATCCTCATAGTCGTTGTAGGTGGAGGACGGATTGTGGTGGCTCTCACTTGACTTGGCAACCTTTGACCATTTCCGTACAGTCTCCAAACCCTAAGTATAAAGTCGATGTGGCTAAGAACGTCGGTATAAACGCTTGCTTTCTGACAATGTCTATTCGTGTAGCTGGCAATACCGATTTGAATGAAGCGCTGGGTTTTATTATAAGTGACCATTGCTCCCAGGGGACCGCCGGAGTCACCGTTGCACAGATTGCTTTCCCAATTTCCCGCACAGAACTGGTTACTTCCGATAACAGTTCCGATAAATTCAGTACACACATCTGGAGGCTGTCGCCGAATGTCCAGTGTCCTTAATGCATCGCTGTCGCTCTCCACCTCTGTCTTTCCCCATCCAGTACCGGTAAGCACTTCAATATTATCGATGTATTGCCTCCAGTTGGTGTTCCAAACAATGCAAATCGGCCTGATATTATCTGTGAAATGAACACAATGATCAGTTGTTGGTAGGTTTTCGTAGGTATTACCTAAATACAACCTCTGTAATTTACACTCTTAGCCAACCGTAGAACGGCAATGTCATTGGCATGTGAGGATGGATTATAAAGACGGTGTCTAAATGCTGCGTCCACCATATGCTCCTCCCGGAAATTGCAGTAATATCCAATGCATCCTTCACTTCGTGTTCTTTCATATTCTCCTAGGCGAGCTACTCTGTAATAATTACAAATAGATAAATAATATTTTATGTTTTTTTCCATTAGTTTGTTACTTACAACTCCTGGTTGTCAATAAAGCAATGCGCTGCGGTTAGAACAAGTTCTGTTGAATTGAAGTTATTAGCTCTATTAATATTTCTGTATAAAATTAGTCAAAATTCCTTGAAAATAATTTCAAGTTAAAGAATAGATAAAGGTAAGTTTATTGTGAATACTTACTTTTTGTGATTAGAGTTCCGCCGCAAACAAATATATTTGTAGTTGTGTGCAAAAAAACCATCCAGGGACTGGAATTGTATTTCGCTATTTGGCCATTGATCACTCGACTTGCATACTTTGGTTGTGCTCGAATTCCACAGGCTGAGTCGAGAAACTGACTTGATCCGGGATGGGGAAGAAATAATACCAGAATAAAGCTGGCGAAAGCTGGAACTCCAAATACTGTGCTCCTCATTGTACAAATGACAGTCGAACGATCGCGAATGGAGGCTTTATAATACCGATAAGAATTAAGCTTATCAAGCTGTTGAACACAACCATTGAAATCTGTTATCTCTGTTTCAACTTAAAACAAAAAGCATAAAATATGAGGCAGAGAGAATAACAACAGAGAAATACCAATACAAAATGGAAAACAGTGAGTGCGTTTGCAGACAAAAATGTGCATTTAATGGATTGCCATTTCTAGCTTTAGTCTGCAGCTTTTTAAAAATTGGCGTATATTCGTTCTAACTGCCTCGTAAGGAAAGGCACCGGAATGTATCCCAAAGAATGCTGAAAACGAAATCGCTCTTCTTCTTAAACATTGCCGCACCACCCGTAGTCATCATCATCATTGGACTACCCATGGATTTATCGTTTTTATTCGCTGGAAATAACATTAGCCGAGCGTAGAACCAAAGGAGCGCATAAAAATTGTTCGCCTACTGAGAATGGAGGAACTCTACCCGAACAAACCCCAATACAATATACCGCAAAAAATAGCTGCATCGTACTGGGTGTTCTTTAAAGATGTTGCTCAAAACATTACCTCGTGAAATGGGAACCAAGTTAGAAATAAAGAAAGGTCTCTCTGTAACTTACATAACTTACTTAAAATTACTTACTAAATTACAGCATTACCTTCGTTCACTAATATAAAATTAAATTTGGTTTAGAGAATTTAATGGTCGCGTTACCCAGTTTATCAGTAAATGCACTTCGTGTCTGGCTTAAAATCATTTAGAGAGAAAAAGGTAAAACGAGATGCTGAAGCGCTAAGTTGGGGAAAATCGCGGTGTACTCGTATTGGAATGAAGGAGGGGCGCTTAGCGTAGTAGACAAGGACTAAAAGAAAAGTGTTTGAAATTATAGCTTTCATGCGGCCTTCCCGCTTTCTTTTTAGCCGGCGTTCATTTCCATCCAACCAGCGCGCAGAAAGTGCAGACCTCTGTTGACTAAGTGGGGCGAACGGCTGGTTTTCTGGGTGGGTTGCACATGAAATATGAGTTAAGAAAATTGATGACAAACATTTCAACGTTTATTGCATAAAATTACCATAAAATATTGCATGCAAGTAGCTTTTTGTCTCTCTCTCTCTTTTTCCCTTAACGAGTGCTGCTCGTTATAAAAATTTCCCATTGATTTGCTGGGAAGTTAAAATCTTTATTATTTCCATAGAAGATTGCGTGTCCATAAAGATTAAAGGTCAATTTAAAATTTTACAATTTAATTGGATATTTTTGCTTTTAATATTTGCATCTTCTTTGTTAATACAAATAAGTAGAGCTTTTATTAAGTCAGTGAACATGTAAACTATTTTTAATCAAAACGAAACAACTTAATTGGAATTTAAGAATTTAAGATGTAATTAAAACGTTTTGTTTTATTGCAAGTATGTCCGACCGGGTTTTTTTACTCCAACCATATCATCATCAGAATGTGGCTATTGTTCCGGCTTGGGCATAATTAAAATTGATGAAGAAGGTTGGGTTGGAATGCACTACTGCTTTCTACAGCTGCATTCCTGGCAGTTGCCTTTTGGGGCTGTGTGCTGGCCATGTCAAATTTATCACTATACCTCCTTCGTTGGCCACTATAAATTGTTGCCTTTCGCCGGTGAAGATGCTGTCTTTGGCATCCTTTGGCGGCCCTGGCCCTTTTGCCTTACCTTTCTTCTTTGCCATCGCTTTACGTTTTGAGTCCTGGACAGCACCGCAGGCAACATTATTTGACGTAACCAAAGTAATTTTAATTTTCACCGCAGCACTCGCAAAACATCAACGACGAGCCGCCCCAGGAGGCAAAAAGGAGCCCACCAAGTGGCACTACAATGCACTCAGCGGAGTGGTGGGCGGTGGAAACCGGGAAACCGGGAAACTGGGGAGTCTGGTTACTTAAGCATATTGCAAATAGACTGCATAATGAGCTACGCTTTGCTTTTCAAGACACTCAGGTGGAAATCGAGTGAACGAAGGCTAACGAGAAATGGCTAAAAACGCATTGAACCAAAAGATGACTGGGGCTCGTTTATAAAAGTGAGTTTTTTATGAAAGTTAAATAAGGACACGATGGGGTAGAAAAAGAACTATAATGAGCTTACCAGTAAATGTAATATAAAACCTTTAATAATTACGCGTAATATCTTTATCTTCAAATTGTATTGGTTACATATTATATTTTGCCTTCTTAAGTTAATTGCAATCAACTTCCTTTTCTTTTTAAGCCAACAAAAAGTCAGAACAATCATTTAAACATCAATCCTGAAAGTTAAACGATTTTAAAATATACAATCTCACTAAATAATCAATTTGTAATATTTTTGTCCTTGTTCGACTGATGCACTCCCACAAAATAAACCCAATTCACTTCTACAGATTTCTAACGTTTAGTATATCCACATTTGCATTGACACAAACTTGCACCGAAATTTGCATAAATTTAAAATGTATTCTGTATTCAGTAACGCCATAATTTAATTTAGTGCCGCAATCAAGTGGTTCAAGCTGAAATCGTTTATTTTTTGCGAGAAATGTTTGGAAATTCGAAATGACAAGCGACGAGACCAACAAACACACACGTCCGGTGGAGAGGGACGGATAGTCCTTCAATTTGGGTGATCTGCTCGTAAATTGGTAGCCAAGGCAAACTCTTTCCCTATATTCAGTCGTAAAGCCAACGTATGCAAATTTCGTATTCACTTTGTCACACATGCACACAAATAGACAAGCACACACGCACACACACACACACACCCCGCACACTGACGAATGTCCCTTTTATTCGCACTCACACTGTCACACAGGCACATCCTTGTGCATTCATCATCAGCCACATCATCATTTATACATTGTATTTGTCTGCCGTAGTCGGTGTTTTTGTTTTTGTTGCTGTTGTTGTTGTTGCTGCCGGTGGTCTGCAGTACATAAAACTGCTGACATTTGTTGTTTCCAATTTGGGGCAACGCATCCCCCGCCCCCACCTCCCAGAATCCCCTCTTGATCACAAAAAAAAATAAACGAAATTTTTGGTTAGAGCTTAACATTAATTGATTTAGAATTTGTGGAATTGAAATTATGTTGAGTTGACAGTTTAGGGATAAAGTCACAGACAAGCGGACTGATGAATGTGTTCCATCCAAAGGGATGAAAGTTCCACCGGCGGCTTTGGGAATCAATAGGGTACATCAGGGTATGCAGGGGGTCCCTCTTTATGAACTTATATAATATAGTAATTATTTAAACAGTTGGTTTGATCTGTCAATTTTAAATGATTGTAACTTCCTAAGCTTTGTCAAATTAAATCTCATTTAACTTATTGCAAAGTACATCTTGCAAAGAGCCATACAATATTATGTTTTATTCAAATTACCATTATGTTTTTCGGAACTCAATAATTTCCTCTATTGCATGCCTTTTAGAGCTCTATATATAAGTAGGACAACAAGATAGTGATTGATTTTGCTAAGATGTTTGTTCAAGTCAAATTAGACTATGTTTGATAAAAGATCTAAAGCATAATGCAACATTGGAAATTGGTCTCCGTTCGTACAATTCTTCGTGCCAGGCAATTCCTCAGTCAAAAAGCCACAAGCT